TACAGAATATTCCAGACTCCTTTTTTTTTTTATATAGGCCCCAACCAACCCATCAATAAATCCTGTAAGCTTTACTTCCAAAATGTATCAAGAATCAAGCTATGCTCATCATCTCATCAGACAGAATTCTAGTCTAATGTACTCTTCTCCTCTCCTAGACTATTGAAATGGACTCCTAGCCTGTTTCTGGGATATCACTTTGGCCTCTTTATGGTCCACGGTGCGCACAGCAGCCAGATGATTTACAAATCCCCTGTTTAAAACCTTTCAGTAACTTCTCACTGAAATTTTAAAAACTGTAAAACCTTTACCATGGCCTGCATGGCCTTATCAAATCTCAACCCTGGCTCTCTCTCCAGTGTCATCTCCAACCTTTTTAGCTCTCAGTCACTATGCTCCAGCCACAAAAGTCTTGTTACTGTTTTCAGCCCTTTGCATTGGCTAACGTTTTATCATTCAAATTTCAATTCAAATGTTACTTCCTCAGGAACGGATTCCCTGATCAATTTCTCTAAATAAGTCTCCAATCAGTTTCTTCTGCTCCATTTTATTTTATTGATAGTGCATATGAGATCTGATTTTTAAAATTTATTTATTCATTTCTTTATGTATTTATTACCTATCCGCCTTTCTCTCCTCATGGGATTTAAGTAACTTAACATCCACAATCAATAAACTGTTAAAAACCAAGGGCTTGAAACATCATATTGCCATAGTAGATGTTCCATAAACATTTTACAAGCTTCCACAGCAGATCACGACTGTATCAAATGTATACATTTGGCAAGTAAGATAAAATCAAAATCAAAGTGATATGTATTGAGCACACACACTTTGTCACAAATATACCACTTCAAAATGCAAGTGATGAATTAGTGGGACTATGAAAAATAAAAACAAAACCACAAAACCTTGAGAGGACTTTTTAGTATTCTTGAATATTTTTATTAAAAGTTTGAACCTAAAATCACGTAGTTTGCAAGAAAATCTCTCAGTATGACCAGTTTGTATTGATGAACAAAATACCTAAATGACTGAAAACCATCTAAGAAACAGCAACCTTTCTTTAGGGTGTCTCTGAGGAGAGGGGAAAAGTGCATCTAGATTCTTACACAGTGATTCCTTAAAGACAAAGGCTTTCCATGTGGATCATTCTGTTGCATGGGGCCTCATATTTTAAATTTATGATTTAATATAGAATAAAAGGATCAATATTTCTAATGAAGACTGTAATTTATTATTAGAAGATCTGGTGCATTTTAATTACTGCCTTGTATTTACAGAAATTCAATTTTCACTTTGCATTTCTTGTTAGGGACAATGGCTTGTAATTTTTTAGTTATCTAATTTTATCAAGAATGTTTCTACTTATTTTTCTGTTGCTTCCCATATCTTACTTTATCTGCTATTTTATCACAGACTGATAAGAAGAATAGTATACATACCAGTAATTTACAACATTTTCATTTTTACATTACTTTTAATGCCACAAAACCCCAACAATTCTATTCCTACCTTTGTTCTCTTCCTTTTCCCAAAAAGAATATTTTAAAGCGAAGATTAGAGATAAGTTTTCTATTTTACTTTGGCTAGCAATTACCTAAAGCGGATTATACTGTGTGTTGAGAAGAAAATC